GCTTACATGTGGGGTTGGTCGAGGTGGAATAGGTGACGAGACCGGAGAAGCGTACGATGCTGATGATGGTGATGCTGTTTCGCCGTTGTCGTCAGTGGCGGTGTTTGAAAACTGATAATCAAATATGAAACGGACTTACACAAGACCAACGCTGAACATCATGATCAGGTAAACCTTCTTCCTTGTCCCAAGTTGGAGATTCAGCAGCTGGGGGATCGGCAATGCCAAAATCCAGACATCTGTAACGATGTTGATAGCCTTGGGGAGAAACTAGTTAGCAACGTCCCCGGAATTAAGATGAAGTGGCGTTTTTTGAAAGCACTCCTTACCGAATGAGCCCACCAGAAGGCGTTGTTATCAAAGCATACACCCTCCGCCGTCCCAGTCCAAGCAACCCAGGCGGATTCGACAGGGACGCAGGCGAGAATTGCCGCAATTGTTGTTGATACCATGAACAGGACGCAGTGGACGATTGTACCCCAACAGGCCATCTGGAACCCTGGCGCAGGGAATACATGCAAGAAGAAACACAAGACGGTGATCTTGGTTAAGATGATGGCAGGGATGTAAGATACTTGGGTAACCCATGTGTACTAGATAAGTGAGGTTAGAGTCGTTGGGTATGTACGCACATAAACTCGAACTAACCTTGACAACCTCAGTAATCTCGTCGGGCGGAAGGGTCCAGATGTCTTTACCCATCCCATGAGCCTTCACTAGGTTCATGCGTTAGCCGAGAATCAATGGTAAGGGGGTAGTATGTACGATAAGCAAGTAAAGTTTGGCTCACTGTAGAATTCACCCACATCCATAGGAATCGATGAGACCTTGAGTCAAAGATGTGAGCTGGGGCCATTCCTCACACACTTGGCGACGACAGCACCCATGTAAACCAGTATCACTCACCATTGCTAGTATTGCCCAAACATCGGCCCAATGGAACTCCTTCTTCCGAAACCCAGACTCGTAGACCCGGAGGAGGACGAAGGCGAGCGCCATGCTGCCGGTGATGGCAGTTGCTATGGGGGCGACATTACCCCTGTCGCGGACAGGCTCCTTGCAGAGCGTCGCTGTTGCATTTTTGGCAGCTGTTGTCGGGGGTGGAGGTTAGCATCCGAAAGAGAACAGAGGAATGAACCTCGATCAAAATGGCGTGGTGGTAAGGCTCAACGAGGCCGTGGTCCACAACTTCGTTCAACGGGTTCTCCACTCACCAAGCGCGTCGAACAGGGAACAAGCCCCGAGCGTGCAGGTCCCGACGTTATCCATCAACGTCAGGTCTGAGCATACACAGTCCATGTCCGTTGGGTCACACTTGGAATCCGGGAGGTATTTCACCAGGCAGTCGCTCTATCATGGGCCAATGTCAGTCAGCTCATCTGATTCCAAACCGAGACCACGGCGGTGATTTCCGGACGTACAGCGCATGCCGGCATCTCCTGGGCCCAACAACGGACAGCCAGGCCCGTGAGGGCTAGTGCCGCTGCCCATATTGTTGACCTCATGGTTGTGAAGTTGGGGGTGCTTCCGTATCGTGGGAATGACGGGACAAGACGTCAGCCATTAGAAAACGACTCTGGAGGGGCGGGCTATTTAGCATTTGCATGAAACTTCCATTCCTTTGCGAAGTAACCTCATGCCCACAGATAATGCTTGCCACTCCTCCCTGAGAGCGAGGTTCCATTGTGTCAGCAAAAGAAAGAAGTCGCCAAGAGGAAACCCCCAGTCCCGACCATTGAAGCGCCGAAGGATGATCACCACCTCCAATTTCTATCGCCCAGCTTCCATACTGAGACGTTTGCCTGCGAACATGCTGTGTAGTTCTATGTAAAAACGATGGCAAAGTTTCTTTCCGGTTCAGTTCCCTCAACAAAAGCAACAATTTCATGCCCACTCAGACGAAATATATCATTCTTTTGTGCTCTCATTCGTCCACGACGCCTCTGGGCGCTGCGGGCTTGCTTAGACGGGGAGCTGCCGAAACCCGAGTCGGAGAAGGGGGTGGGCGGCACCGGGGGGCAAGTGGATATGTATCCGCCACGGAGGATATGGCGGCTGGAGATCTGTGGAGAAGAACCATGGACTCGGGTTTCCCGCGAGCAAATGGGTTCGTCTCCAGCCCTTGTCGGGTCCATCTGCCGATGCTCGGCCCGCATGAGGCTAGCAACCCATTCGGACGGTTGGGGCCGGTTTTGGGTTAGTTGATAAAACGGCTTTTTCTTCGACCCAGCAAGGTGAAGCGGCAACACAAGTCCACTCGGAATCCGAGGGTTCGCTCTTCGCCCCCAGGCGGTATCAGTCGATCCTCATGCTGTTTTTTACGGATTTGGACTGGTCGGAGAATGAAGGTCAGGCGGGGAACGTTTCCCTCAAGAGGAAAACCTGAGGAGAGGGGAGATGGAAGGGATTTAAGGGTGACAAGGGTGCCCGCCACTTCGGGTCAGCCAGCAGCACGACAGGGTGAAACAGGCCTCATCTGTGCAGGCGCCTCTTCGATTTCGTGCTGCACTCGTATCGTTGCTCTTGCTTTTGATCGTTAACCTTGACGCCATGTCCCTAATCCCAGACGTCAAGCTCATCCTCGGTGCCGTCATCCTCCTGGCTGTCGTCCGCCTCTTTTTGGGACGCCGCTCGCCACATCCTCTCCCTCCTGGGCCCAAGCCGGCACCGCTTATCGGAAATTTGCACCAGGTGCCCAAGAGCCTCCAATGGTTTCACCTCTACCACTGGAGCAAGAAGTATGGCCCCGTGATGCACCTCAGCATGGGTGGCCAACCGTTGGTCATCTTATCGACTCACCAAGCCGCCCATGACCTGCTCAACCGACGGAGCTCCAAGTACTCGGACCGGCCGCGCATGGTGATGGCGGGTGAGCTGGTCACCAGGGGTATGCACATGCTGCTCCGCCAGTACGACGACCGGTACAGGCTACACCAGCGGATGGAGGCGCCTCTCCTGACCCTGCGATCCGCGAGCTCGTACCGGCCGCTGCAAGACATGGAGTCGCAGCAGTTGTTGTTCGATGTAGTGGGTGAACACGGAGAGACGGGCGCCAAAGGCGTGGACTTCCACCACCACTTCGAGCGCGCCATGGCCAGCTTTATCTACGCCCTCAACTACGGTTTCCGCCTGCGGACCGGGTACGAACAAGAACTTTTGGACGGCAAGCGTGTGCAGGGCGAGTTTGCGAGAACTGGCCAGGTCGGCGCCTACCTCGTCGACTCCTTCCCCTCGCTGAACTACCTGCCTAGGTTCCTCGCGCCGTGGAAAAAGGAGGCAGATGAGCTTTATGAGCTCGAGCGCCAGCTGCATGTTGGGAATTTGAACAAGGGTTTGGCCAGTCCGGGCTGGAACTTCAGCAAGCACATGAAGAAATCGCCCGAGGCTCAGGTCATGTCTGAGGAGGAGCTCGCTTTCGACCTCGGAATTCTCGCCGACGCTGGTCTTGACACGTCGACTGTGGCATTGGATTGGTTCATTGTCGCCTGGATCACCTCCGGCGGCTCGACATGGGTTCGCAAAGCGCAGGCACTTCTTGACGAGGTAGTTGGGAAGGATCGGCTACCAACGTTTGAGGACCGCCCGAAACTGGCATTGATCGATGCTATCGGTGAGTTTCTTGTGTCTTTTTTTTTTTTCTCTCTTTTGAGTTTCTCCCTTACTAACACAGCATCAGCGAGCGAAACTCTGCGCTGGCGCCCCGTCGTAGTCGGCGGCGTGCCGCACTTCACCAAGGTCGAGGACAATTACATGGGTTACCACATCCCGGCCAACTCGATCGTGCTGGCCAATGCCTTTGCCATCACGCGTGACGAGTCAGTCTTTGGCCCCGAGGTTGACGACTTCGTCCCCGAACGGTGGCTTGCCGAGGAGACTGCTAGCACCAAGTCCGAACCATCGATTGACGCTTGCGGCATGAACACGACGGCTTTGAAGGATCTTCCTCAGACTGGCTTTGGGTTCGGACGGCGCATCTGCACGGGTCGCATGATTGCACGCAACCAGCTATTCATTCAGATGGCTCGTATGCTCTGGGCGTTTGACGTTGAGGCCGGCATCGACGAGGCTACGGGTCAGCGGCCCAAGATCGATCCCATGAACTGCACCGAGGGATTCGTGACCCTACCCAAGCCGTTCAAAGCTGAAATGCGCCCGCGTGGTGATTGGGTTCGTCGTGTGGTTCAACAGGCCGGCACCACCCACGGCACTGACCACGCCGAGATATTGAACCAGGCCAGCAAGGAGAGAGAACGTTCTTAGGGAGAGTTGAGTAATAATGGTATGGTTGTTTTTTTGGTGTTCACGTGGAAGGCCAAGAGGGGAAAGATGAGGAAGGGGGGACGCGGTGGGGAAAGCCCCGTGGAACGGAATAGAATGGCGGATTCAATGGTTCCTGCTTGACAGATTAATCGGGACAGAGTGGAAAGGGCGACCCCGCTGAGGTCCTCAGCAAACGACTTGTTGAAGGAAGAGTGGATACTAAACAGTTGGCTCATGCGCTCAGGTGGGGGGTTAATACAGGGCCGAATTGCAGGAATCGATAAACAAAAAAAAAAGAAAAGAAAACTAGTTAGAGACACCAAGTCCAGCCTACCCGTAACCCCCACGCCGTCGTCGTCGCCAGCTCTTGTTCTCAAATCGACAATACAGCCAAAATCAAATGACCATGGCTTCAAAGAGCCTGGCAGACCATGATCCCTTGACTAATTAGTCGATCTGCCATGTTCTTTTGAATTTCTGCCTGAGACAAACACCGAAATCCTGTCAATCGCACCGCCCGCTTTAAAATGCCTCCCCCCCGGGACTTGGCATCACCGGCGCTTTTCGACTTCTTGGCTCCCGGACATGTTGTCCTTTTCCGTCCAAAGCACGACGGTCCGCAGTTCGAGAGGCACTGCAAGATCAACTCCAGCAAATCTATAAATTTAAACGCCCCAACGGTGAGCATGCGCCACGCACCGCCTCCAGAGAGGCACAGAAGCAATGTATGGAGCCCGAGATAACTAGGCAGATTGATGTTGATCAACGGCAAATCAAGCCGGCATTGGCGTGTTTGCGACGAAAGGTGCCCGAAAGGAACAAATCCTGGGGCTCCCCGCTGCCGCTCACTGGTGCCAGGCCTCGGGCAAGATCCACCCATCACATGCAAGCACGGGTCTATTCCCAGTACAGAACATAGTCCCGGAGCTGCAGCTGAAGCGCTGCGGCCTGGCCCGGCGCAAGGCTGCGTTCAGGTCTTGATCCGGGCTGCGCTGAGGGCGAGTACGGGAGGATGGGAGGATGGTAAAGAAATCAAAAACCCGGCACCCTTCATCATGAAAAGAGGGGGGGATGAGGTAACTTGTAAAGGAAAGCCGCGGCTTTCACACGGCCGACTTGCTTGTCAACCTTCGGCCTGAACCAGCAACGCCATCGAAACACCTCAAAGGCTCGACTCAGAGTTGGCATTGGGCATCTACTTTGAAACCGGCGATAAACTCAACACGAACAAGTATGGCACGCTCCGGCGGCCGGAGGGTGGGGAAACCGACGACGGAGATTGACTATAGCGCGCTAGAGGACCAAGAGTACCGTTATTATGGTGCGTCAGGTCATGGTAAGCACCTTGTCAACCCATAAAGATCAGGGCAGCAGGCTGATCTCTCCCAGAGGCTCAAGCCAACTCCGCCAGGTGCAGGCGTGGCATCGAGCTCTCAGACTTCGTGCGAAATTGGACATTCCTCAAGTATCTTCTCCTAGGCCTCCTCGGGACAGGTCTTGTAGCGGCGGTTTTCTTCCTCGCCGTTGCTATGGCCATCATCGTCCGGTCGGTAACAGCCGACAACACCAGCTTCGACCCAAGCCATCCCGACTTCGCTCTGTACAAGAACAGCCGTTTCAAAGAGTGCTACAGCCTTACACCCGATACCCAGAACTGCACTGCCATCCGGGCCGGTCTCGATGCGCACTCGACCCGTCTTTCCAGCGAGTTCGGCTACGTCGACAACACGGCAGGCTGGGCAGCCTATACCTCGGCCGAGCAAAGTGCACACCCCCCCATCTACGATTGGTGCCAGATCGTAAGCTGCTTTAACGGCTTTAAAATCATACCATCCGAAGCACGCCCGTCGGCCACTATCCTACCCGACATCGTCTGCTGGTGGATCGTCATAGCCACCTCCGTCAGCGCGCTATTTCACGCTGGAAAGCAGCTCTGGTATGCCTACAAGCCCGAGAGCGAACCCTGCAAGGCACGGCGCGACATATCATGGCTCGACTGGATCTTCATCGCGTATGACCTGGGCGGCCCCATCCTATTCTGGTGGATATCGTTCGGCCTGTTCGCTGCCAACCCGGCCCAGTCAGCCACCATTGCCCTCACGGCCTGGGTGGCGGCGTGGAAGCTCGGGTACATCACCAAATACCACCCCTACTCGTGCGCCCTCGAATACCACCCCAAGGCTAAGCTCTGGATCCCCCGCTTCTTCAATCTCATGGCGCTCCTCCAATGGGCCGGCGGTGTGTACATCATGGTCGTCTACCTGGGTGACCTGAGCAGCAAGGGCTCGACGCTGACCAGCTACGACTGCCTCGAGTCCGCGGTGGGGGCCGCGCCGGGGTCCAGCCCGTGCTCGGCCGCCGACCTCTGCTCCAAGGCCCTGCTCTTCCGGAACGACGACTTCCGCTACCCAGACACCTTCCAGGTCGGCGGCCGGTACACCCTGCTGGCCTTCTTCTGGACGTGGACCCTGATGGCCGTCATGCCCTTCGTCTTCATGCTCATCGGCTGGCTGGGCAGCAAGCTGGCCGGCGACTCGGCCGAGCGGATGAAGGAGGACGCCCGCTACCTGTGGCGCGTCGTCAACCTGGGCCCGCACTTCTACATCGCCTTGGCTACTTTTATATGCATCGGCTTCAGCACTGGCTACGCCGTCCACATGCTGCAGACGTGGGACGACACCCGCAACAGGGAGGGGCCGTTTAGGTTTCATCAGGAGTGCAATGCCGTACATGTCGCGTTGAGTCCGTGGAGGAACTTTTTGGATCTGAGCGAGTATTCCAGGGCGTATAGGATTGTGAAGATGGTGTTTGTGGCTTGATGTTGTTATTCATGATGATTGATGTTGATTTATGATAGAATGTCTAGTTGGTAGAATGATTCAATGGGTTTACATGATTTAGAAGTGTTTGTGTAGCGAGAAAAGGGGGTGAATCCGGGTACCCTAGCCTTGAAGTCGTCGGTGTTGCAGGTGACATCTATCAATGTCTAGCAGTAGCTATTCTTTTGGCACCAAGGAAACGCCAACTATGTCTACGGCGGTTTGCTAGTATGACGCTGGCTCTGGTTATGCCCGAGAAGGGGGCCTTTTTACAGACACTGGACTCCAGTCAATTTGCGAAGCCTTCCATACATGTACGTGTCACAGTCTCTATAGAGTGTTGTTTATCCTGAGTTCAGTGAAACTTGTGCTAAGTACCTTGGGAATAGTGATCTTGTCATATAAATAACTAGCTATGATCTGGTTTGAATACATTTCCAAAACAACGCAAGATTTGATAGCACGAGAAAATAGCATAGTTACCAGATAAAGCAAGAAGTATCCCTGCTAACACCCAAGAAGTACGTTCGAATGTCCAAGCCCGCCACACGCCACTACCCGTAGGTGCAGAATGAGGATTGTAGCATACATAGGTAGAGGAAAGAAAAGTTGAACTCATCAAATCCCAACTTGCCGTGTTACTGATTCTTTGACTGAGATTGCGTTCAGTCCACAGGGTTGGCCTGGTCCTGATATGAGGTAGACATGGCATAAGTACTTACCTTTGCTATTCAAGACATATGCCCTTACTTCTAGTTAGGACTCGGGAACTGTCTTGGATTCCCTGGCACTGGAGGAAGACTTGCGGACCAGGGGCAAAGTTAATAAACCTCTCGGAAGTGAAATGATCAAGATGGCTTAAAGGCTTTCTTGTCTCAAAGTATTCAAACTCGTTTGTATTTCGATGACAAGGCTGGATAAAACGAACCTAACGATTAGGTGCCACAAGACCAGAACGCTTGTTAACGTATGCTGGAAAGCCATCTTCACTTGGACACCGCTGGAACTCGCTGAGCCTTACCCGAAGATTTTGGTTTACCTCCGCCAAATCAACCTTTAGGTACTTATCCCCAGCTTCAACCCTACCCTCGCAAGTTTAAGGCCACCGTGACCGATGCATCTATGTCTTTCTTTTCTCTTTTTTTTTCCCTTTTTTTTATTAGGGTTAGTTATCACTATAGTATCACTGTAATACCTGCTCCCCTCCACTCAATTACTTGGCCGTTGACTTCGATTCAGACATGTGCTAATACTATTGTTTGAGTGTAACAGAGGGGAGTTCATGTTCCAAGCCTCTGAGCATTGCGCAAGCCCAACCCTGCAGTGGTCCGTCCCAGCGCTGGCTGGCATGCAGCGAACTTTTTGAATTCCGACATCGTCGCTCACCAAATCCGCTTGTCCAGTCGAGGACCCTGGTCGGCAACTTCGGGCCGCGTCGTTCAGTTATAGGCAAGGACTGACGCCGACAAACCAATGATTGGATTGATGAGGTCTCATGACGAGCCGGGGGAGAAGAAAAGTGGAAGGTTGGCGTGAACGACAAGTCCGTGCGAGATCATTGATGTGGCAGGACCCAGACAGCGCTGGGGTTCGCAACTGCCAGTCTGCCACCTACAAGTGCCGGTGACAATGGAAGCGAATTGACGAGCAGGGGAAAGGAGCGGAAGGACCAGGCCAGATCGGCAGGGTCCGCGAGTTGACACCAAACAATTCCCCCTCTCCTCCCGATTATTCGTACGCCTCTCCACAATAAAAAAATTCTGCTCGATCAGCCGCAAAACTCCTCCAGAAGCGCACAATGGCACGATGGTACGATGGTGCGAAAATGGTGTGGAGTGACAGGCCCGGCTAGGCTTCGGTCGCTGCAATTCTGCAGTTCGAGGCCGTCTGCGCTTTGAAGTCTTAGCAGGCAAATTATAGCTATCGATACGATGTGGGCGAATCCCTCCACGATCCGAAGCAACGAGACCGCGGGGGATGGAGTCGGAGCCTGCGGACCTCCAAAACCCGTCACAGAACGAGGATGCTTCCACCCCCCCCTTCGAAGTTCTAACGCGGCCTGCCGACACGCATTCTCCCCTCTCTTTGTTCTCCTCTGCGGCTTCGGGCCCTGCACTGATGATGCCAGATCCCATGGCCGATCCAATTGACACTCTGCACGCCAAGCCGGTCTCACTCTGCCCCGCTGACAGATGAGGCCGCGTGAATGAGGACACACACATCCCGTTCGATTGCGATACCGTTGCGTTGCGGAGACCTGGCCGCTTCTCAAGAGGCCCGGTGGAGTTCGGCATCTTGATGAGTGCCTGCATACGCGAACTCCCAGACTGGACGTTGGCACCTTGCAGAGACGCAGTCAACCGTTAGACCATCCCGGAAGCGGACACCTGCACCCTCCAAATCGGGATGTCTGCTCGTTGGACCCGTCCCAACTGGGCTCGCAGGGCTCGCAAAGGAACAGTTGCACCACCTGTACCAGCTATTTGCCCACGATGTCACAGCGGAATACAGCAGCGCGTGGCCGAGACTCTCGACAGGTTAGCAAGGTCAGACAATCACTGATTGCTGCTCCCTTTCTGCTAGCCATGCGGCCGTGACTGCGACCCCAGCAGAGGGAACAAGCACACGCGAGCGAGGGCAGGGCCCAGGACCTTGTCGACCTTCAGCTCAACACCATCTCGCTTCAGACGACCAGCGTGCATTCCACCTTCTTAGTTCGGCAATCGAGATGCGGGAGGGCGACCCGGCCAGCCAATCGAATGAGACGGAGCAAACCGCAAATGCGCTCACTACGCCATCGATATTGGGCACCGCCCTTGTGGCACACCCTCTGCTCGAGGGGCCCAGGCGGGGTGGTGGCCAAGGACGCAACGCAAACCTGGATCCTTCGCTTTCCACGCGGCCCGCCTTGCTTTGGGACACACCCACACTCCCGTGGCCGTGAATCTCCAACAGCCTCGCCAGCCGACTCCGACCGGCCCGGCAATGTGGCCACTTCTCCGCACCGCCGGCCAGCTTTCCCCTCATCTCGTCAACCCCGCTGGAAGCTGTTCTGCATCGTGATGCGCCATCTCCAACTCATGCCAGTACAAGAACCTCCTGCTGCAGCGCCCTCTTTCGTACCCCTCAGTTTCATCTATCTAACTAGCCCGTTTTTGTCAGAGCCGGCGCATGGAATGCCCCCATCTGACTTGGGACAGCGGGACCTGCTGCTAAATTGGGTCCAGAGCCAGAATAGCATCACCATCTTTCTCCCTGCAATCGATAGTGGGAGTGGAACGAGATTCGGTAACGGCCATTGCAACGGCGGGCAAGGGGGTGGAAAGGCGATGCCACCTCCTAACAAGGGAGTCAGGGGTCCAGCCTTCCACTTTGACATTCCCGTGAGCCGTCGTGACATCGCGCCGAACATGCAACGAAGCCAATCACAGCTGCCGGACACACCCCCAAATCGCCAAGGGCCAGTCTCATCAGTCCACCGAGTCCCATCTGACCCGTTTTGTTGCAGGACCGATGAGGCCGGAGAGAGCTCACCGCGTGATGAGGATGCATGCGCGGGCAGCAAGCCCGCGCCTCTTCCAATGAAGCCTGTGTTGATTTGATTAGATTGCGGGCTCTCAACATGGCAACATCTTGGTTCCCTGCCAGCGGACGGCGCTCTCTCATCACGGGTACCAACACGGATCTTGGACAACGCACCAGGAGCGAGGGAGCAAGGAGCAAGGGTCGGCTCTCAAAACCGTTGCGACGTCCAGCTGCTGCACCTTTCCAGGTTCTGATCACCCCCAGTTCGGTACCGGAATCGATCGCACCACCCACTCCTGCGCTGTGGTCCGAGCCCTGTGCAAGTGGCCGTCTCCCAAGATCCTGCATCCTGAGGTTCTGAAGTGACTAGCGTCGTGTTAACTCACTAACGTTAGCCTGGTTGTCAACTCGGTCCTTCATGTTACCGAGGCAGCCTGGTTCCTTCGCCCTCTTCTCCAACGGCCTTGGCGGCCCCGGCTGCATTCGTCCCATCATGATGTCAGCCATCTGTTCTCGCACCCGCCTCCAGCTTTTGATTCTGATCGGCTTGTCGATCAGCGACAACGTGGTCTCGGCTGGCCGGCAATTGTTGATGTTGTGACGAGGTGACCTGCAACACGTGCGTGCTGTGACTGATTACGCCGATCGTTCCAGCCATCAAGACTTCTGCGGCGTGGTTGGGGGCTGATATCGCGATGATATCATTTGGGCTGATCGCTGAGTTCATTCACGATGAATGCGACTCTTCTTTTATCCCAGTCTTCCGACGATGGGGAATGATCTGCTGTTGGCAAGGGCCCAAACTTCAATCTGAGGACAAACGGAGAGGCCAGTCTAGCGATCAATCCCTTGAGAGACGTGGCCCACCGTTAGTTTTCGGTGGTTACTTTGTAGGGCTGAGACAACATCAACGGCGGACCATTCTTCATGGGTGCAATCTCTAGTGAGTTACGCCCAGGGCTACTTCGAAACCGTTCATACACTACTTCCAAAACCAGAACATCGCTTATTGTGTATCAAGGCGAGATTCGGAAAATAGCGATGCAAAAATAAATGAGCTGCATAATTTGTGAACAAACAGTCAGCCCTTCATAATACTATACCGCGATACTACATATAACTTCAAAGTTCCCTTTGGAGGTCTGCACCGTGCAGAAGCAAGTAGCAGCCGACCCGTACCGATCCCGAGCCCTGCCGTCCACACCACTGGCGACGAGCAGGGCAGGCGGGATGGCACACACACTCGCACACCACGCCTCTGTGACTGCATCGAATCTCAACAGATTTAGCAACGACCGCCGCAACCAGAATCCTGATAATCCCATTTTAATCTAACCCGGGGCTTACCAACAGGCCCTGGAAAATCCCCTGGGAGGGTAACACCCACAGGCAAGACGCCAATAGGAATGGAGCATATTTTGAAATTGAATCAGCCAATACCGAACCGGTGAGCCTTCCCCGTCTCCAATCACGGCTGACAACGTCTCGGCACGGGCAGGTTTGTGCCGCGCGTGCGACACAAGCAGGACAAGGCATGACGAGACATATTTATGTATGTACTGTGTAAGAAAATACACATCAACGTGTTGGGGGCCAAGTCCGTCGGGGATGCGGTTGGGTCATGCCGGTTTCAACTTTCGGGAGTGTGGAAATGATGGTGGGCGGATTTCAAGCGAAACGTCTGGACTCGAGGAGACAGGCGAAAGAAAGAAAGAATCCCCCGATATCTCTCGCGTACGCTAGTACTCAAATCAACCGCGTCTATTTCTCTAGAGCGGCATATCCAAACGGAGAAAACACCGATAGGGCAGGAAGGGAAGAATAGTCAACAATGGTAGCGAGACGACCAAATCGAGCAACCATGGATCTCAAACCAACACTTCAATGCCCTTCCCGTCGTCGAATTCAGATAGCCGGTCCCTACCTAAGGCGCATGCAAGCACCCCAAAACAGACCAACTCGACATACTGTGTAGTATAGTATGCTTAGAAACCAACGCTTGGAAAACAACACGTGGAGGAAGACGCAAGTACGTTACACCCACAATCTGTCCAGAACGACTACGCAGTCTATGCTTTGCATCCACCCCTTCCCGGTCGCCGCACCTGAAACATGCAGACGTGTGTGTCGCAGTCGAGATGCACTTGTCCGAATCAGTGCCTATAGGGCAGGCCGATATCAATATCCAGATTTCGGCAGTGTCGAGAAAACAAGAGTCTCGAGAGAACAAAAGAGACGAGTGGAGATCGATATCCACAACGGAGAAAATCAATCAACACGATCTCTTGGGACATGCGGAGAAATGCTACCATCATTACTGAACACCAGGTCTTTGCCTCCCCCGGTTGTCCAGGTTTCCCCGGGTTGGGTTGACAGATGACATCCTGCCCGTTCAAAACCACCGCCGGTTCCATGCCCGGCAAGTCCGGGCGGAGAAAAAAAAAAGGCCAAAAAAAAAAAGAAACAGACGGAAGCGGCAACATTGTCGATTGCGGAGACGGCAGCAGGCCGCGCCGAACCAACTAGACCAGCCTGGCCAGCCTGGCCAGCGCCTCTTCTTCCCCCCTCCGTCAAACGCGGGAGAGGGTGCGCCGGAGAGGATCAGAGTTTGGGCGAGGTGGAACTGTGGACGGACGGGCTGCAACGTGCCGTTGGACCAGGTTCGGCGTGGTTGAACGATGCTCTTAATGGCCGTCAGTTATATGTGAGTCGCCGAGCGGTCGAGATTCCGGGGGTTACAATGACGGTTCCGCCGGAGATCCCCCCAAGTTCGCAAGGCAAAACAAACAACCGATTCAGTGCAGAGTTTTTGGGTGGTGACTGAGAGAGTCTGGCTCTCCCAGTTTCTGGTTCTCGGGAAGGACATGATTGAAACTCATTAGGAGACAGCCAAACCCCGGACAACTGCCGGTATCGAAGCACAGACTACAACTTTCAACCCGGTTGTTACCCGCGACCGCAACCTGGGTGTATGTCAACATAAGTTGCCTTTGCAGTTGCATTTAAACCGTTTCTTTGATTCTTAGGTACGCGTGTTCCTGCTTCTGCTGCGGGTTCCTAGGAGGGGATACTGCATGTTGCAGGAGGGGTGCAGGATAACCGAGTTATGTTCCTGCGGGATTAGAATCGATGCACCTAGTCGGCGATTATTTCACGCTTGCCGGGGAGCGCCACAGAAAATTAAAGGTTGTGCAGTGTGGACAATGTGGAAAAGAGAGAAAATGGCAGCAAGAGGGGGAAGGGGCAGAACGGCCAGAGAGCTAAAGGGGACTCCAGCTTCTTCTCACTTAGCTGCCTAAGCATAAGTTTCGTCCGCAACATCAACGGCTGCTTGTCTGCGAGACAAACCGTTAGGGGAGTGGATAGACATCGGCACCGGTCTCGGAACCGCACACACAGCCGGGCCATTCGGGGAAGACCGCATTCCCCGAAAGAGCCGGCTCCGGATTCAAGGCTGTGCCACCGCACAGGGGAGGGGATCCGGTGAAGCTACACTAAGCCCGGGTTCGGGCTAAACTGGCCCGATGACGGGGCTGAACGACAGGACCTTCCTTCTTGAGAATGTGGCGTCTGGCTCGGCGTCTGATTAAGGTTCCGGGCTTGTCTCTTGATGGCCCCTTGGCCGGCATGGGAGGCTACGCCGACGTTGCGACAGGCGTGGAGGGCCTTGAGATCTGGCATTTTGCCTCGCTGCACGGCTCGCATCATGCCAGATCCACAGAGGAGCGAAGGACCCTGGGGTCCCTGAGCGCTTTTTGAGGAGGCGGAAAGACATGCTGGGGATAATACTAAGAATTGCCGGGCCTGCGACGTTTCCAAGATGTATCTGGTGGGCCGAAGAGGCTCTTCTGGCGGCGAAGGACCCGGCCATTAGGGCGTGCTCTTTTCCTCGCGAAGAAAAGGAGCCTCACCAAATCTGCGTTATATTGAACTGCAGGCCCAGTCGCCCATTTCATTTATACCGTGATATTTTTGGCGCTTTCGGCAAGGGGCGACCGGGTCACTTCGACCTTCCCGCCGCGGAACGTAAATTAGTTCTCAGTGCGGTGCTGAACACAAAGATATTGCTCAGCATGCTGGACGGCAGCGGATTGAAGCGCGCGAGTTGCTTCCCGGATTCGCCGTGTGGGTTTTGTATTGCCGGGCTCGAGCCATGCGGGCGGGTTTATTTGCCCCATAAGCAATTTGGAATGCTCGAGACGAGGGTAGGGAGGAGCGGAGGGCCTATTTCGTGCAGACGCCTTACCATTACCCGGGCCCGGGTGTGCTCTGGATGTAACCTTGGATGTTGGCGGATCTTCGACGGTCTGGAAGCGCTGCGACCTCGATATACACCGTATTCACTTTTACCGGTCGCTTTCAAAACACATGCATGGAGTAAACAGACTAGCTTTTAGGCAAGGGCCCTGCGAGGGCTCGATCGATGGCGATGGGTAAGTGTCTCAGGACACAGAGAGCGGGTCGCCAGTTGTCAACGACAGCCGTCGGCTTGGCTGCGGGCTGTTGTTGCATCAACGTTGAAGACTTGGAGTAGCGAGGGGCCTCCGAGCAGCGACCGAGAAGCATCATACAAAACGGCCGTCCGGGAGGGAGGCATGCCGCGGTGCGGCAGCCGAAAATCCCGGGGCCAGTAGGAGTGAAAATGATGGCGTACCCGACCACTAGCCGGCATATGGTCGTCGTTGGAGACTGAAACGCATGGGTGTCCGGGGATTAGGTCGGGAGCTAGATTTAGAAGCCTTCTAGACGTATTTTGATCCGCGATCTGAAACGCCGGTGACAATGGAGTCCGATGTGGGATAGCGGTGCCTGCGCACCTGCGGTCTGCAGAGCGTGCAGAGCGCCGTGTTGCGATGCTGCCCAGCCCTCGATATGAGGTTGCACTCTGGATCGGACAATGCTGCGGGTTGACGAAGCTCGAAAAAGGCGCTAGCCAGTCGGAACTAAATTCCCCGCTGGAAGTGTCATCGCCCGCCCTAACGCACCCTAGAGGACTCGGGGTTGGTGCTGAAAGATATCACCTATGAGCAGTCGTGGCAGTCCTCTCCTGGTTCGAGCGAGCGTTGAGCCTCGGAAAAGCGGGTGAGCGAGGGTCGCATAGGGCTTAATACACCCGTTATAAGGACATGGGGTTAGGGGTTTTGGTTCGACTCTGGCCGGGTTCTCCGCTTTCTAGGCTCTTTTTGGCGAGGTAGGACGTTTTCGCGTCTGGATTGAGCGAGAACATGCAGGAGCTCGTCCAGTCGGAAAGATATCCTTCTGCATCTTGTTCACACCAGAGGCTGCGAGTGAGCACCCCAGTGAGTCGACATGCAGCGAAACGGAGAAAACAGGCGCAGGAGGGTACGGACGGCAACCTGTCTCCCTTCATGAGGTGGCATCCTGTCCGAGAAGTATACGCTGGGTTTGGTCATGGGGCATCATCTCCGAATGCATGAGTCGTCGACACAGCCTTGCACTATCACTGCGTTGGAGTTGGACATAAACTTCTCGGTTCAAGCCCCTCTCAATGATGGAGCTGGTCGAGAGGAAGTGCATCTTGGCACCCAAACGTTTACGGTCCGTATAACTGGGGATAGTTCTTGGTGGTGCGTGGAATGGGAGGCTCTACCGTCAGCAAGTGCAGCGGAATATGATTTCGCGGCAAGACACCAGGGATCCTTCGATCTCGAGAGGCCCGAGAGCGAACAGGGATCGAGGCGTAACCGCTTTCGCAGGGCTGCGTCCCAACGGCCGGCCACTTCACTGTCATCTTGTCACAAGACGACTGCAGAGTTGGTGTCACGTTTTGGACGGTGTGAACTGTGACGTTCGCTTGCTCGGAAGTATCCGAGTTCCAAGTCGTTCGGTCTGTGAAAAGTTCGATACCTGCTGAGTCACGGAGACGTCTCTCGCAGCCCAGCGGTTGCTTCAGCCATCAACGGCGCGTCATTAACAAGCCGACAAGAGCCCTGTAGCGGTGGCTAAACACAGTTGACAACAATACCAGGTTCATACCGCTCGCTTTTCCGGTACCGGACGGGAAGAGGCGAGACAAGCAGTCGTCGTCAGGGTTGGCGAGCCTGGGAATTAATTGCTCACTCTCGTATCATGCGGGTGACTGAGGTTCAGGGTCTGGGGGCGAAAACACTTTGCTCATGTTTTGTTTTGTGGTTATCGAACTGCCGGGGAGTGAATCGTAACGGCCCCGATCTGCAGGGAGCCGTTCTGTGTCAACCAGTCAACCACCACGGCTTTTCAAGTTCCGCGATCCGCCCAACTCCTCAAAGGAGAGAAAAAAAAAGCCAATTTCCGTGGTCGGGATGACCGTTTGTCGAGGGTGGAGTCGATTGTTTTTTAGTGTCGATTCATCAATGTCGTTAATCACACGAGCGAACGAGAACCGGGAGGGAGCGGCAGGTTGCCGATTGGGGTCTCGGAAGCTAGTGCTTATTGGGGGTTGTTGTAATCGGCGGGAGTAATTCAGGAAATTGCATTGCGGAGGATGGACATGTGAAGTTCAACAAGAGGGAACTTGCTTGGAAGTTTCCACACACACACACACACACACACAACCACACACACACACACACACACACACACACACGTCTTCCAGTGCTGAGTGGGCAAGTGCATGCCAGCTCCGCCGGATTTCCACTGTGAAGTGGGGCAGGTGCAATGCAAGCTCCGTCGGAAATGAGATGACTAGTTTTGCATGTTCTCCTCTCTGAGTCGAGAGATTCAGATCGAGGGCCGGTTTCCTGATTGGGAAGACAAAGTTGCAGCAAAGCTTTCCCCACACGATCAGCTCCTGCAACCGGTGGGGCTTCAAAGTGGATCCTTGCTGGTTCGTCTGGACTTTCCGTTGCAAACCATGGAAAACTCAATTGTGCAAGAGCAAGCCCTGCCTGCTTCTTCCACCCGCACACACACAAGACACACACACTTTCTCCCCACAATGCGACACAATAATAACTACGAAGTAATTTCCCAACTCCAAAAGCCCTGTGATATGTTGCCAGCCCTGCTCTGCCTTTACCTTGCCACTCGAAAGTTCTCTTCCACAAAATGTCGAAGGGCCGATTCAGCTTGCGCCTAAGGACTGTGGACACGGGACGGGGATATTACTATGGGCCACCCTGGCTGTTAGCAGAGCTTAACGAGGGCAACGCTGTGGCCGCTCGAGGGCCGTTGGTTTGTCGCTAGTTGGTCGCTGATTGACGCCCCCGTTCAGGTTGAGAATCCGCCCAGGGACTTCGCATCGACGCGTTCTGCGTTGGTGCAGCTATCGATATCCAGCATGGTGCGTGCAGCGCAAGAGTGATAGCCCAACCCAACCAGCCGCTGCCCGCTCCCGGTTTGATGGGGACCATGGGCTGCCGTAATTGACGATCGGCCTCTGCACAAGCGGCACCTGCGCCGGATCCCCATCCCGTCCGTCTCACGCTGGCACATGGGCAACCAAGATTTGCAGAGATGGGGTTGGACCACCGCAGGACCGGCCTCAAAACCTCCACCGGGTTCCCGAGACATTTCGAAGTATCCGTACCTCTGTGCAGATCGCAGGTTGCAGGTCGCGGGTAACTGTTGGGCAAGCCTAATATCGCCGGTGGCGGTGGCGGTGGCGGAAACACACAAAAGCTTTCGCGCAGCCTTACCGATGAGCCGATGCGGCGTGACGAAACAGCCTTTCTGGCTTCCAATGTTGGACGGAGTTATCTCCGGATTGAGATGAGGGCAAGGGGGTTGTGGAGTGTGCATCGTTGTCAGGGGAGGTTCCCGAGCGAAACGACACCAGCCCGACACAGCAGAACCATCATCGTCACAGCGCCGCGATGATGATGTCGTTCATGACGGTGAGCGTGCAGGAATTGCAACAGCAAAAAGATGGCGGGCAATCTTGACAGCTTGGGAGCTTTGATTCAGGTTCTGCGACGGTGGTGTGGAGTCAGGTCATCGTTTGACAAGGGGATATGTGCATCACCAAGTCAAACCCCGGTCCTTGTCCCTGTGCTCCAGGGTCCGCGTCGCTCTGACCTCTTTTTTCGAAGGTTCCGCACAGGTTCGAAAACGCTAAATCATCGGCATGGGCCGGCGGTCGACGCACGCTCGTACACCCTCAATATGCACTAAGGGCCGTCTCGAATCGTCGCCATGCCTTTGGTGAAACCGATGACATATGATTCCATCATCAAGCCATCTGCTACACAGTCCACACCCATGGCAGTCGCTTGTTTCTATGCGCCAGCAGCTTGACTGAAGACGGCTTAGCAGTCCAACGGCTGGCTATTTCCAGCCCACCTGCGCTCTCGCGCTTGATGGCCAAATTGCCAAGCGCATGGATTCTGATACTGGGCAGCGTCAATTAATATACGAGGAGCTGCAGGAGTGACCTGCGCAGACGCTGGCTAGACTACCTGTTCCTCGGACGCAGCTCTTTTGCTCCGACGAAACGCTAACATTAATTGCCATGTCGTATCAACCCTCCATGCACGACATGGCAGAAGCCCTTCGGAGTCTCGAGACCAAACATCAGAGCACAGGTGGCAAGTTCTATCAAGCTGGTGTGCTTCGCTGGACCAACCAACCGGTCACGAAACGCATCCTCTTCACTCTCTCGGAATGCCGCTCTTGCATTAGCGGAAGATTTTTGAGTGTTCCTGAATATCTGCCATGTGCTACCGGCCAGCCAGCTCCATGTAAGCGCTTTGACGGCAGGTTCTCAGCGTGAGCCAGAAGAAACAGTTCAACCTTCTGGAAGGCTGGGCAAACAGGCACGGACACTGCTTGTCCTTGAGATCTCCATCCACGACCCGGCCCGGCCGGCGTGGTGGCCGGGATGTTGTCTGCGGCTTGCTCGCTAAGCCATTGCCGGTTGGGCTGCTCTCAAAGAACAAAACCCTCTCCTTGTAGCTAGTCGAATCTCAGACGCAGATCTCGCGACTTATAGCATTCTGTTTGATCTCGATCATGAACGCAAAGTCACCTGTGCCACAGGCTTGATGCCCCGGACGCGCCTCGCAACTCCAACCGAGCAGGGGGAACACCGGGGGAAGGCGGGGAAAACCTCAGCCAAGGCCCAGCAGAGTTACACGAGGGGGGTCGGACTGATGGATACCCGGGACATGGCGATGGATAGAGAGCCGCTTCGACCAAAAGAGGCGGAAAGGACCAGCTCCCCAATGCCTGGAAAAGGCTTAGAGCCGACTCCTGCGTTCATGCATGCATGCAACGCAACAGACAACAGAAAGCTCAGAACGGAACAGTCGGACGGTGGATCACTCAATGCCCGGACAGGCCATTGTTCGAGAAAGAGAAGCCAGCCGAGCCAGCGAGCCAGCGGCCTTGTTGACCGCCCTGCCACACCCCAGCACGTCAGCAGCAGCCCGGTGGGGGAGGCTAACGTGAGAATGTGGGGGGACCATCTGGCGGGATCGGAGAACCTTTGGGACAACAGAGACGCGAGAAGGCTCACAACAACATTGACTACACAGTAAGAGGGCCTAAGGAGGGTTTTGGGGTAGATCACTCGGTAGACTACGCACAGCGGCCCAAATGCGACCTCAGTCCCAGCAATTGAGAAACATGCTGCTCCGAGGACCGCGCCGTTGGCAGACATGGTGCAGATGTCTGCGGGGAGGAGCGGAAAGAAAACCAACCCCTGGTACTGGATACCTGGTCGCTCGGAGCTTTCCCACGCGCTATTCCAAGTCCAGCATGGGCCAGCGACAGCCGGTGGACCCCCCAGTGGTGCCCTTCACTCGTCAGGCCGACTTCCGGCACATTTATCCAGAAGGGTATCGTCATCTTGGCGAGGACTGGGTACCTTGCACGACAAGCCACTTGGGTGCGCAGGGCTGCTTCTCTGGATCTGGAGCATTTTCGATGGTTGTCCACTTCTGTCTAGATGCTCTCTCCGTCTATTCAAGCTCGGCTGCTCTCCCGACGGCGGGTTTTGTTGTGCATACGGTGTGTGTCTGGACAACGAGGTGTGCCAACGGGAGGCCCTTCGGGACGCGGAACAGGCCTAGCCTTCCATCGTTAGAGAAACGAGATTCAGGACCGCAAACGCAGCCAAGCACTTCCCGTCTGTCAGTCAACCACCACAAAGCGTGGTACCTTGACCTTTTGTCCATACCCTGGTCCGCCCTGCTCTCCCTTTCCGCACCCCTTCCCTGCACTTGGTCGGGTGGTCTGCCGACAGCAATGACGGGGGTGGATGAGAGCAACTGTTCTGCCGTCCAGGGCCCATGGCGGGCTGCGCGAGCAGGCCGCGAACACCCAAGAAAACCCCTCCCCGCCGCGCTCGCGCATCGCCGGCCACCTTGTCTGGATGCCTGGATGGAGAAGGCCCTGAGCCCTTGAGCTGTCAAGGTTGAGGCCCGGTGTACAGGGGGGGGGCCCTGCCGAGCCTTGTTGTTGAAAGAAACGGCCACCCCCAGAGACGTCTTAACATTAGTTAACGAGTTATCCTCGTCGTCAATCATATCACTGGCCCTCAATTCTGTTATTGACGCCTCTCCGTTCCGGACTAGACAACGGCACTGGCTGGGTGGCATTCCGAAGCTCCTGTCCTCCTTTCTGTCGCGACTCCGCTACAGCTTAGCATGCCGCGAGAGTTATATCTGATCTACACAGCACACATCTCTTCCTCCCTCCCCCATTAAATTCATCCCATCTTCCGCAGTGCAGACGATAGCTCCAGTCTCTCCCCGGATCATCCCCTGTCGGACCACATCCTCGGAGACAAAAAGGCTAGGCTTTTCATCTCCCACACGTCAGAGACGGCATTACGCGCCTCGCTTGCTCTGTTCTGCAACCTGGCGGAGCTGCAGCAGTGGATTCGCACCACTATCCCCTGCCTCACCCTCCGGCCCTTGCTTACTGCCCCTCCTTTCCGCCTCCCGCATTCAAGAGTGTCTAGCCCCCGAAGCTGGCTCTCTCTCGAGACTTCTCGCGGGAGAACTTGGTAATCTTAGAAGATACTTGGGAATATTTTGTTGCTTTCCAATCCCAAGTCAACAGCATCCCGGCGGTACCCTTCATCGGCCACCCACCGTTCAACCAACATCACTCGCTCTCCGGCCTCGACACCGAGGGTTCAGCGCAGGGGGATAAGAAAAGCAGCTGAGAGACGCACAAGGAAGAGTAAAAGACTTGGAAAAACGCGGTTGGAAGCTTGGGGCATGCATGAGATTCGAGGAGTGGCGACGACATCCTGGCACTTACATCTGAAGCCCATAGCTCGGCTCGATACACCCACTGCGACGTCCCTCCATTCGCTATAGCCCGAGGACTGCCGCAACCCAGCAGCACCTTGCATCCTGCAGACACCTAAAAGCGCCCCGCCACCAGATAGCTCCTCCGCCGCCCTCCCGGCTCGCATTTGAGCGACTGTGTTCTCGACCCGGCTTCTTCCCCCACAGGTGCCGGCCTGCCCCGCTCACTGAGACCGAAGCTCCCGGTGACCGGCGAGCCAGCCATAACCGGCCGACCCTCAGCACCACACTTCCTGTGGACCTGCATCACCTCTGCTGGGGCTTACTTTGGTCGGTTCCTTTTACACCCACACCCCGTTGAAACATCAGCAGCCCCCCTCCCACACCCCTTCACCCTCGACTCACTTGTTTAAACCACCCTCCGCCTCTCACTGTGCTAACCAACTGGTTCCTTCAGAAGCTTTCCGTTTTTCTTCCATTACACTCCTTTTTGTTCGTCCGAGTTCTGGCTTGAGCATCCGACAACAAGGACCATCCCCCACAGGCAAAGATAGTAGTACTTGGTTGCGTCTGCCGGACCCGCGGTCTGTACAGGGGATCCGGCAGCCTTGTGCTTTATCATAAACCCCCCCTCATAGAACTTTACCAGAGCCTACCCGCACAATGATGTCCACGCTGGGACAAGGTGACTTTGAGTTGGCGGTACGGCAGCAGCCCAAGTACGCCTGCGTGGCCATTGGTAAGGGTAAAGGTAGCCCTCCTCGTCGATGTCTTCTCCAATTTTCCCTTTGGACTCGACCAGCTGACACGATAAACAGAGAGGAAACCGATCGATCCGCCGCCTATTGTCCAGCTCATGGTCAACCCCAGGAAAGACCCAGGGCGGACGTTCCTTCAGAACCCATACTTGATCCTTACCGCTAGGCTCATCCGCAAGGGAGACGAGGACCAAGACGAACAAACAGGGCCGAAAGAGAGCGACTTGACGGGCACATTGGTCTCGTCTCTCTACAGCCTCAAGGACACAGACAACAGCCAGGGCGGGTTCTTCGTGTTTGGCGACCTGTCCGTCAGGAGAGTGGGCACATACCGACTCGCCTTTATCCTTTACGAACTCAGGCTGGCCGAGAAGGAGTGCTGGCTCCTATCCCGCACCGTCTCCGACCCATTTGTCGTCTACGCAACAAAGACCTTCCCCGGCCTCGCCGAGTCCACATTCCTCACCCGCTCATTCAGCGACCAAGGCGTGCGTCTCCGCCTCCGCAAGGACTCACGCACCGTCTCCACCAAGAAACGCACCATCAGCCAAGCCGACCAGATCCGCGCCTCCCAGGGGATACACGGCTACCTCCCCCACGACGCAAACCACGACCTCAGCCCCAACGGGCACTCCCCGCACCACCTCCGCCGTCTAAGCTCCCTCCACGACCAAGCCCAACTCGACCGCTCCCGCAGCTACTACTCAGAATCCCCCCAGATGCGCCCCGGCGAATACACCTCTAGCTCCTACGGCTACGCCCCGTACGACGACCAAAAGCCGCACAAACGCGCCCGCATGGACGGCGCCTCACCAGACAGCCCACATCCCTCATCGGCTGGCGGCGGCGGCGGTGGCTACGAGACTGACACCACCGCTTACCACTCGTACGCGCACCACGCGCACCATTCCGGCCCACGCACAGTACCCGACGCCCTCGGGTCTATCTACCCCCTCACAACCAGCGGCTACGCCGTGGCGCCACAACCCGCGCTAACTGGCCTCCCGATGCCGTCGCCCTACGCCTCGATGCCGCGCCTCGACACGACCCATCTCCCGCCACACTCGCCGGCCGGCGCGCCAGGTTCGGCCTCGTCGGCCTTCTCACCAGGCACCATCGGCAGCAGCAGCCGGCGCAGCCCGCCCGGCACCGCAGGCGGGTACCCCTCGTACGCGGGCCACGCCCACGCTGGCCAGGCCATGTTCACGTCGCAACCCACCAGCCTGCCCTACCACCCCGCCGTGGCGCACGGTCACCCCGGGGCGGGCGGCCTCGGGATTGCCGTCGGGTTGGACTTGGACGAGCGGCATTGAAGAGGCCGCGGCGGCAGCGGCGGGCGTAAGGAAGGGCTTGAGAAGGGCCGGCTGTTGTCTGTCGGGGACGACAGGCAGCAGCAGGCAGGCAGGCAGCAGGCAGGCAGCAGCAAGCGGCGTTGCTTGTTTGTTGGGCCGAGACGAAAAACAAACGTAAACCTGCCTGTCTGTCTGCTCGCCTGCCTACCATTTACGCAGCCGCGTCTGTGAAAATACCTTACCATGGAGACGAAAAGGCCGCGCTGAACACAGAAGGCACGGGTGCAAGGTGTTGAAAGATACCTGTACTTTGCTTGCCCAAAGTTATTATTTCAATGACGGCGGCGGTGGTGATGGTTGGGTTGACATTCCTTTACTCTCTATCATCTCATTCCCCCATACCATACCCCCTCATCACGTTTTTATCGCTTTTTTTCAACGGTCGGGAGGCAGGCAAGGCATAGAGCGCAGTACTCAGAGTGATATCCCCTGGAATTGGGCCGGACTGGGCCGGACTGGACTGGAAACTGGACTGGGTGGTTTTTTTTGTCATTGTTTTTTTTGCTCGTCCCCCTCTCTCTCTCCCGTCTCGATTACCCTACCCTACCCTACTACCTACTCTCTCTATCGTTTTTTCCCTTTAACCACACACCTTCTCCCCTCTCTTTCACAGTGCTGCGGGGAAAAACGCGACGGCGGCACGGATATATGAGATACCCTTTGGAGGGGAGGCGGCTTTGACTGGAAAACAGTTCCCTTGGAGGCTGTTCGGGGATGTTGGCTGGTCTGGATTAGGTTCATAGTGATAATTTCTGTTGTTACTACTTTTGTTCTTGGTGCTCGTGACTGCTTGACTTGGACACTATATGAGTGTATCAGATCGAATCTGAGCTGTCCCTGGTAGAAGAAGGTCCTTCGATTCAACCAGTCCTTGGTAGGCAGAAAACGGTGCAATACCAAATGAATAGGCTTTGTTTTGTTTGCTCGTGTGGCGTTATGCACCCAGGTACTGTGGGCAGAAACGAACGGCGCGTGGAAAGCTTGACCCTGCCACAGAGGAAAGTATGTTTCAAGGCCGACTCGGCTGTTTCGGAGCGTTCTGAACTATCCCCAGGCCAAGAATATCCAGTCTGGATACCGGCCTGTGTTGGGGAGTTGGACGAAAGGTGGTCCAAAAGGCAATTGTGTCCGTCGCTGTATGTGCGGCGACACAACGCTCGCCGCTCAACGCTTCCTCGAGCCGTTCGCTTCTCAACCAGAAGCCCACGCCACCAGTGTTTTGGACTGACGGAACTCCAGTAGAGCTTGATTTGATGAATCCTGAGCTCGGCCCCGTCTTCGTCTCAGACGGAAGTCTGCGGTTCAGATCAGAGATGACCCGTTTCGGTACGTTTGCGGGATCCGAGCAGTCCAACGATATGCATTCGCTTTGGCGAGCAAAACCAAGTTTCCAGCACTCCGCATCGTTATCCCCTCTTGACACAACCCAAGCTTCTTCGCTTCCCTCTGACCACGCCGCCCAACCACCAACCAACCCCCCTCTCAGCCAACCCCCTCCCTCCTCCTCTTCTCACAACCCTATCCCCACTTCGCCCCCAGCGCCTGATAGTTTGCACTCCCCACGGGCAACACACTCCCATGCCTCAGATTCCTCGGAAACGCGCCCCTGTTACTCGCCGTCCACCCGTTGTTGCTCTTCGGGTTGGTGCTCTCAAACGGGCGATACCCATCATCGCCATAAAAGTCCAGCAGCAGGTGCACCTTCCCAGGGTTCGTGTTGTCCAGGTACGCGGCGGGGCCCTCGACCCCTTGTTGGATGATGGCGCTGTCGCCGCCGGGCCGGGTCCAGCTGCCGAAGAGGCCGTTCTCGGAGACTTCGACGAAGACAGCCTTGCGCGTCTCGTCCTTCATGAAGCGGAGGAAGGAGGTCGAGTCGGTGCCGTTGAGGGGGACGAAGTTCAGGTCGATGATGTTGGTGGGGTTCTTGTCGATGAGGGTTTGCGGGGCGCTGAAGGTTTGGAAGTCGTTTGTGTAGGCGTAGCGGATGCGGATGTTGGAGGGCGAGCCGGTGTGCCGGGGGTCCGAGGTCGGGTACTAAAAATGGGGGTGAGTGTTCTGTTTAGATGGTGTAAGCTGTGCGGCTGTTTCTCACGAATTTGGAGGCCCAGTGGACAAGGTATTGCCCTGTTACTGTTAGCTTCATGTGAACCAGTCCTTTTTCCGAGACGTCATGCCTTTTGCGGGATCCCAGATCGCCTCTGGAGCCCAGACCATGCCGGCGGTGGCATCTTCCACGACGACGAGTCTTTCATTCCCCCAGTTGACTAAGTCTGTGCTCTCCCACACAAAGATGCCTCTCGAACCGGTTCGCTGTGCTGCATCCCATGTTGTCTGTCCAAGCGTCAGGATGCTGATGAGGCACGATCGAACCCCTATGACGGCCCCTCAAGCGCAACCCACCTTCCCAATGTTCAAGTCGGTCCCTATTATGTACCACTTCTTGCCGGCCTCACTTCCACCCCCGGGGATGATGGTGGGGTCCCGAACACCCCCAGTCCCTTTGGTCGGCCTTATGACGGGTGAACCGCGGTTCAGAGCCCTGAAGGAGAGAGGGTCGTTGCCATTGCTGAGGTAGAAGTACACATAAGGGTCGGCCCCAAGGAAGAACACCCCCAAGTACCCAGCCAAGTTTGGGTCAGCACGTCTGGCCACCTGACTATTGTATCCCGGCACGTCGATGGCAAACCCAAGTACTAAACACGACCATGAGGAAAGAAGGGCCACAAGAATGGCCAGCGCTCCAGGTCTTATACGCGCCATGACGAAGGCGTAGAAACCGCAAGTTCCCGAGGGCGGTCAGCTAGCACGGGATCAGAGGGAACCAGAGCCGAGCACCGAGGAGAGAGGGAGGGTGTGGCGGCTACAGCATCGATCGATCTTGAGCGGTGACGCCTCATATATCTCAATAGCCATCACCCTTCAAACAAACAGCACAAGGCTGCACTCTCTGTCGCGAAACGGTTTCTCCACACTCGGCCGTCCCACCAAGGTTGTGTTGCATTTAGGCTTAAAATGCCCAGGGGAATGCTGCACACCGCTGGCTAAATCTCGACATATTATTTGAGCGCATACCGGCGAAATCGTGGAGAACCGCCGAGCAGTGTGGTTGTGTCGCAATAACATTCTGATGTGTTTGTCTGGAACCGAGCATGGTGCTGGTGACCCAACTTCACCACCCTTGGCGGAACCGGCCTGGCGGCGGATTTGTGGAATAATTATGGTTTCGGACCAGTGGACGTTGTATTCGCCGTTAGACCGAGGCCACGCTCGGGGGCACTGCGGGGATCGGCAGTTAAATGCACGAGAGAATGAGATGTTGACCAAATTGACATCCAGGTTGTGACCAGCTCAATAGGTAGGGTACGATCCCATAAAGTTGGCCGGCCCATGCTTGGTTGTTGACAGGACCTAAACGTCAAGGGCACACTGCTTAACCGAGTTCTTCTTCCAACTTGGAGTGATTGTCCGTCGTCGACATCAGGCCTATTTCCGCCCCGGCTTTGCCTTGAGCTTTCTTGAGAAGCGCCTGGAAGGCCTGCAAACGAGTTTCGAGCGCCAATTCCGAAATGGTTGAGTTCTGTGAATCTATGAGTCCTGTTGGGTGGAAGCTGTCGAGAGCCGCAAGCTCATCGATGGGCTCGGCCATTTCGAGATCCCAGGCTTGAGGCTCATGTGCCTCAACTTCATCGGCTTGAACACCTAATTCCGGACTGGCGGCCGACCCTGGATGGTACTCTTGGGTTGGCAATGACAGCGGCTGGCTGTGATGGTCCGATGCGGGATCATTCACGGAATCCTGGGAGAAACGGGTGTCATGGCTGGCCGAAGATACGGTAATCTGACTTTCAAGGCTGGGATTTGCGTTGTTTGTGTAGTGGCCGAACCGTTCCCTCATCGCGTCGTCGTGCCGAAATGTGACGCCTGAGCAATATGGCGCAAATAGACGCCCAACCGTGATTTCTAGTAACAAGTAGGTCAGTCCCCGTCAACCAATGTCTCAACGGGATCAAACCTTCGCGTAGCCATCGAGGAACGTCGACGGTACACGGCCAGATGTCCCGTGGTTTGAGTGTCTCGACTAGGTGACAGAGCTCGGGGTAAGACGCATGGCGGGAATACGGAAAAGTGACGATGTTTGGGAGGGTTTTAGCGCGGTTCCCCAAAGGGCGTTCGCGCAATCCGAGTTTTCTAGCTATTGCTTGCAAGCCCCTTATAAGGTCTACCTCGTTGTTCTCCCAAAAGGCGGCTCCCTCCAGGCCAAGTGGAACTTTCCGGCCGTTAACGATGGCACTAAGTAGGAACTCACTGAGCCGTTCCCGCAAGTCATGGGAGATACGATCGACACCGTCAAAGCTATAAAGTTAGGGGAGCATCTGAAGGTAGGGTAGGTTGGGCTTACGCTTCCAGGAGCGAGGCAACGTCGTCCGGTGAGAGATAATCCAACTCGGCTTCCCTCTCCAAATCGTCTCCTCCTCCCCCAACACCGACTTCAGCGACGTCTTCACCATCGGGAAGACGCGTGATAATGGGTTGAATCCATACAACGGAGTTGTTCTTTACAGTAGCACAGTAGTTGCCCTTTTCGCAGCTGTGAAGCCGGACAGTCTCGTCGCTGGTTAAGCAGCCAGGATGGTGAGTGTTACCGCACATGAAACCTACCAGTGCCGGGGCCTCGGGCGTAAGGTGGGAGGAGGGAGAAAACTTGTTGTCGGAATGCGAGCCCATGAGAAAACGAAACATGGACATTTTATATTCGTCGACGTGGATCTAGCCACCCCAGATTAGGCATTGCGGCGGTATGATATTAAGTTTGCATACCTTGGACCTCAAGGCTTTTGAGAGAGCAATCCAGACTTCCTCGTACCTATAAAGCGATCAGAAGCGAAATGGAAAAGGGCCAGTACCACGGGGGGCCCTACCCATATGTCCAAGCTTGGAAATGGAAGATGGTATCGGCGGGATACCTACAGACTTTCTGAAGGAGCTCGCTTATTCCCTCAGCCTTGGTGGGGAATCCAACGTCGACGGTGAAGGATGTATCAAGGTATATGGTGTCGAGTGTCTTGAGACCCGAGGAGTACTCGATCAGACACGGCGATCTTGCAACCGAATTAACGAACCAGGGCTCGCTCCTGATATCCCCTGTGTACAGTACGGCTTTGCCCTGGCCTTCAAATACTGAGTCCAACGTTAGCATGGGTTCTCTCTGCTTAGCACAGAAAGATTAGATGCTTACGGAACATGACTGCGCCAGGGCAGTGGTTCGCATCGAACAGGGTGACCTGAAGGTGGTTTCCAGGCTCGAGCTCGAGAATTGTGGGGGTCTCCAGGGGTATTGGTTTCTAAGAGAGTATGAGTGGTGGTGTAGAGCAGATGGAGAGCTAATGGCTGGCTAATGTTCTCACAAGCAGGGTCCTGAGATGGCGATATCTCTGGACGCGAGTTTCCAAGATGCCACTGGCATAGTTGATCCGGCAAGGGTACCTCTCAAGGCGGAGGAGCATCTCCTTAGTAGCAGCTGAACAGTAAACACTTCGGTACACATCAGTCAAGTCAAGTGCATTGGCATGGGGACAGGGCCGTGCTCGTACAATGGTGACCTAAGAGTCTCCAGGCCAGCAAGATGGTCGCTGTGAATATGGCTCAAGAAGCAGGCTAGAGGAGGGCGAAGCTCTGGGTGCGAGCGGAAGAAGTCAACTACAAATTAGTTAGTTAGCTAGGGCAATGGATAGATGATTCGTCATGGTAATTATATCTTGCCTCGAATATCGGGGAATTCGGCCACGAGGCCATTGAAGGTCGACATGGTGCACTGTAGTGGTTATGTCATGCCATGCACCATGGAATCTGTAAGCTTAGTGCACTCAGGTGAAAATGGCAAAGGACGGTTGGAGAGCAGGTATTGTGACTACAATTCTCAGCTGTTGTTTTCTTATTTTGTGGCGTGTTAAGAAGGAAAAAGAAAAAAGGGGAAAAACTGGAAGTATGTGGGTTGAATAAGGAAGGAGCTCGAGGCAGCAGCACTGGAAGTGATGCTTGCTATCACCGTTGACTCCACAGTTCTCAGTTAGATATATGCAAGTGCTGTTCCATCTTCCATTCAAAGTTACTTTTCCACCTTAGAGGGTTCTCAGCTAATATAAAACTATCTCCTCCATCCGTCATCACTATTGGTTTCTCCCCTTCGGATGAAAAATGAGGAGGGAAAGGAAAAAGCATAGTTCCAAGACATACCTCTAGTGTACAGATTTGTATGTACAGAAGTGCATAGCCCCGCGACAACACCACAAAATGCAGGCCTTGCAAAGCCATGAACTTTCGCATGCAACCGTCGGCCAATGAGGATAACAAGCCACCAGCGAAATTGATGAAGATGCTGCGCGATCAGCAAGGCGAGATCTGGTGGAGTGACCTTGATTGATCGGGGCGGCCCGAGTGGTTGGGTCCACGGATTAGGTAGGGAGTTTCTCCCCCCCAACCTACTCGAGTACCATTCTTGGCGAGGCAGAACCCTTGTCCCCTTGTTCTCCCTGCATGCTCAGCGGCCCAGTCTCCGGTTTCACACTTTCCCACGGGTAGCTGACCATTCTGCTTTTGGACCCCTCGACCAGAAGAAACCAACATGACTTCAGACACCTCTCTTCCGCCCAAAGCCTGCTGGCTACTGTCATGCTCATCAATTCCGCGCCCAACCGATCCAGGCCGAAACGTGTGAAACCCAGAAAGAGCTCCTCGACACTTCTCCGATCGAGCCTTGGCCATGGTCACAGGCCTTAGCTCCCTACTGGTAGAGTCGCTGACCCCAGGCCGGATTGTTGCCGCTGTCTTCCTCTTCACCATCAGCTCCTTTCTTGTCGACTTCACATGGAAGCCCCGTTACACCAGCTCCCTCCCCAGAGTCGGATGCGGCAGTGGGGTCTTCGGCACCCTCCAAAACTGGTTCTACTTCGTGACACGCTATGACAGCTGGGTTTCCGAGGGGTACGAGAAGGTACGCTTCGCCACAACACCAACAACCACAGCCTTGACTTCTCATAATATTGACATTACATCCCCATAGTACTCTAAAAATGGCCGCGCCTTTCTTGTCCCCTCGGCCCCGAGCCGTCCGCAAGAGATCGTTGTACCCCGGCACCAAACCGCTTGGATGCTCGAGCTCCCCGACCGCATCCTGTCGACGAAAGAGGCCCACCGAGATGCCCTCCACAACGACTACCAATTCTTTGGGGCCGATGACCAGTTTCCTATCCAAACCATCCACAAGCACCTGGCGCGCAATATCGTCGGGCTCATACCCGGTGTGCAGGAGGAAGTCCATGGCGCAATAGATGCCACCTTTGGGAACGATACAGAGAACTGGAAGACATTGAATTTATGGGAGGCCTGGCTAGGGATTGTCCCGCGTGTGACGAACCGAATCATTGTCGGCTCCCCCCTATGCCGAAACCCGGAGTTCCTTAACTCTCAAGTTGCTTTCGCCGACGATGTCGTCCGCAACAGTTTCATACTGGACATGTTCCCCCGCCTCTTCCGGCCGCTCGTTGCCCCGTTAGTCGTTCTCTCCAACTGGTGGCACTGGCGCAAGTCTTACCTCCTCGCCAAACCCGTCATCGAACAACGTCTCTCCGACATGACACGCAAGGCCTCAGGTACCGATGCCGCCTACGACGACTGGCAGCCACCAGAAGACATGATCACCTGGCTGATCCGGAAGGCCCAAGCGGACAATCTCCAGGCCGAGCTCAACGCGGAGATGCTCTCCAAGCGCCTCCTCCCGGTCGAATTCGCCGCCATCCACACCACCGTCCTCACGGGCTTCAACCTCGTCCTGGACCTCCTCGCCTCCGACCCCATCCTCAAATACATCGACACCATCCGTGAGGAAACCGCCCGCGTGCTCGCCGAAGAAAACGGCACCTGGACGAAACAGGGCCTCGCCCGCCTGCACCGCACCGACAGCGCCATCAAGGAGAGCATGCGCTTCAGCCACTTCTCCCGCGCCCTCACCCAGCGCAAGGTGGTGGCGCCCGAGGGCTTGACCAACCCCGCCGAGGGCTGGCATGCCCCCTACGGCGCCCTGCTGACGCTGGATCTCGCGGGCACCCACCGCGACGGGGACCTGTACGCGGACCCGGACAGGTACGATGCCTGGCGCTTTTCGCGCGAGAAGGAGGCGTACGAGGCCAAGGTGGGCGGGGGGAAGGGGGATGCCGAGGAGGCGATGCGGGTCATGCGGCTGGGTATGGTCACGACGAGTCCGGAGTATCTGTCTTTCAGCCATGGGAGGCACGCTTGGTGAGTTCTGACACTGGGTGCGGTTGTTGTGCCTGTTACTGATGAGTGGAACAGTCCCGGGCGATTTTTTGTTGCGCATGAGCTCAAGATGGTCTTGGCTTATCTGCTGCAAAACTATGACTTTAAGCCATTGGCCGAGAAGCCGAAGAGCATGTGGCTGGGGTCGAATGTCATACCTCCGGTGCAGACTAAAATCGAGATCAGGAGACGGAAGGGGACGATCTAGTGTGTATGAAGGTGATGTTTAGTGTGATGATAAGAGACGGTATGAGAGGACAGATAGAAAGGATAGACAGCCTAATCCTGAGTCCCTTGATATTTATGTACCCATTCAGCTTGCAGCGGTTAGGTATGTACATACTACTGCGCGTGGAATCGTTCTAATCCGCAGGCCACTGCCGATGCTCACGATGGCTTAGATAGCTCGTCCGGGTCTTTTGAACAAATCATTTCACTCTCCCACGAGTGGCAGCTCCGCCTCTCAGTCTCTGAACTGCTCTATAGGCTGATAGTTCCAATCCGAAAAGTACGCCGGCGTCGACCCATTCCCGCCGTTCGTTGTCGCGTATATACCCAGCAGCGTCCCTATAAGCCACGTCAGTCCGCCAGGACAGGCAACGGGCCCAACTCAGCCCACGATATTAAACCAGAAGAGTCAAAACAAAAAAAGGAAGAAAAAAGAAGGAAAAATAAAAGAAACTCACCCGTAAACCCCCAACTAACCGCCTCATTCCCCACCTCCATCACCACCCTCCTCTCCGCCCTGCGCCCCTCCGGCCCGACCCCAAACACAAAATGACTCGCATTACACGCCCTCACCTCCAACACCAACCCCCCACCACCGTCCCCATCATCACCACCACCCCTCCACCCCTCCGGCACGGGAAACACCACCGGCCCCGGCACTGCCGTGTACGACTCGCCCCGGAACCGCACATGCGGCACCAGCTCCCCGTCCCCACCACCCCCCTCTCCCCCACCAGCACCACCACCATCACCCAGCGACAGCTACACCACCCCCATATCCAAATGATGGCTCTGCGTCAAAAACACCGTCACGCCCGCCTCCTCCCGCGCGCCCGTATGGTCAAAATGTAGTGTAACTAGAAAGGCTATGAGGGTGTGTTGCTGGCGCCGCGCGATGAGGGTCTGGCCGGAAGGGCCCGCATAGTTGCCGTGAGGGCGGTCATGTTGAGGCGGGAGGGCGTCAGGAACAGGTGTGGAGTGGTGTGGCGGCTAGACCGTGTCCGACGTGCTTATGGGGAAGCGCCAGTGCCTAAGTGGG